CTTCAGTTCCTTTTTTCGTTTTCGTTTTTTCCCTGGTAATAATCTTCGCTTTTCTATCTTCCCCTCTTCCATCTCCTGCTTCTATCCGTCTACCGATACATCCTATCCCTCTTTCTCTTTTCACCCTTTTCCTTATCCTCCTCTCTCCCTCTCCGTCCCCACCCCCCCCCCCCTTCCCTTCCTCCGTCCCACCCTCCCCTTCCCTTCCCCTCCATCTCACTCCCTCCCCCTTCCCTTCCCCTCCATCCCACCCTCCTCTCCATCCCACCCTCCTTCTTTCCCTTCCCTCTACCCCACCCTCCCCCTCCGTCCCACCCTCCCCCTTCCTCCCCTCCCTCCGCCCTCCACAGCATCCCCCCCCCCCCCAAGCCCTAATGAACTCCTTCGACCTGCTCCCAGTCCATAAAATCGGTCCTGCAGTCCGTAAACAGTATTCTGAACCGTGCACTCCAATCTCCCTTTTTTCTGCAACGCGTGGTGCCACCACGAGACCTCACAATGCGTTGCACACGATCTTGCAATAACCCTGCAACATTTTTATAGAGCGTGTATGGTCTCGGGTGAAGGGTTGGGGGGACGGTGGGGTAGAGGAGAGGGGGAGGGATGGAAGAAATAGAAGATAGGGGAGTGAGTGAGAGAGAGAGCGATAGACAGAAGGGAGGGAGAAAGAGAGGGAGGGAGACAGAGACACAGAGAGAGGAAGAGAGAGAGAGAAAGCATAGAGAGAGAGGCAGATACCGACAGAGAGAGGGAGGGGCAGGAGAGAGAGCGAGAGAAAGAGAGAAAGATGTATAGAAAGAGAGACAGAGACAGCGACAGAGCGAGGCAGGAAGAGAGAGAGAGAGAGACAGAGACAGAGACAGCGACGAGCGAGGAAGAGAGAGAGAGAGAAGAGAGGAAAGAGAGAAGAGAGAGAGAGAGAGAGGAGAGAGAGAGAGAGAGAGAGAGAGAGAGAGAGAGGAGAGAGAGAGAGGAGAGGAGAGAGAGAGAGAAGAGAGAGAGAGAAGACCAGAAGAGAGGGAAAAAGACCAGAAAGAGAGGAAAAGAGGAGAAGAGAGAGAGGGGGGAAGCGAGAGAGAGAGGGACCGGGCTACCTGGTTGTGTAGTAGTGTGCTGTGTTGCAGTGAGCCGACCCCATTCACAGCTCAACGCTTTTTGTTGCCTTCTTTAGGGACTTTTTTTCCCCCTTAACTTCTTTTTTTTCTCTCTCTCTCTCCCTCTCTCTCCTTCCCTTTTTTTTTGTCTCGGTCATCTCCCTCTGGATAACTCGCCGACGACATCTTCCACGCCAACATGTCCTTACTCATGTTCTTTCATCTCGAATGTTGTGTGTGAGATGTATGTGTTCCGAGCATGTGTATGTTTACTTCTGTTTTCGTGTCTAATTCCTTTTCCTTTTTATTATCCATTGGTTCACGTTGTTCATGCTATACGATTTTACGAATATGATTGATTTATGTATCATTTGTGGTTTGTTTTGCTTCATTTCCTCGTTTTTTGTGTTTTCTTCCCTTTTCTACTTCTTATTCTCATCTTTATGACCCTCTTTCCGAATGCTATTCCTGTGCTTTTTATCCAATATTCCAAGAGTTCCATTCCAGGAAGCTCTCGACTGAATTCCAGCCGCTCAAATTCCCGAAGGAAAAACGCAGACTGGACGACCGCTCCTTCCGCTGGCTTCGACGTCACGACACATGAGCGAGAAAATTAACAGTTTATCGCCATTAAAGACCGGGAGAGATCGGACGAAGGGGGAAAAAAAGGAGAGAGAGAAAGGAAGAAAGAGAGGAAAAAAGGGGGTATCTCCATCAAAACACGTCAGTCACGCGCCTCCCAATGTTGCACGAGGAGTCACAACAAGCCTTTGCAACGGCTCAAAGGACCTGGAGACTCCTGAGGTCAGATCCCAAAAGCCAGCCATTATGCTCCTCCCCCCCCTCCTTAAAAATCCTACAGCCCGTGCCGCTCACAATATTGCACGTGAGCTTTGCAACAACCCTGCAACATTTTTACACCCGAGGACAGAGGGGCACGGGCGCGGAGGCAAGCGAGGGGCTACCTGGGACCGTGCAAGGGGAGGTCTTGCAAGGGACTAAGGCTATTCAGAGACTTTGACCGACGGCGATTTTTTGTGGCGGAGGGAACCCTTAGGGAGGAGGGGGGAGGGAAAGGAGGAGGTAAGGAGGGGGGAGGGCTGGAGGGGAAAGGAAAAGGAGGAGGGAGGGGGAAGGGATGGGGGAGGAGGTGGGGAAATGGAAAAGGGAAAGGAAAAGGGGGATGAAGCCTTTTTTTCTGTTGCTTTTTTATACAACTCAGTGAGGTAGTCGAGATGCAAAATCCTCCTAGTTGTTAAGAAACGGCCTAATCCTACCTATGAGCCATGAAGACGGAAGAAGAAAGACGGCAATTATAACAACAATAGTAACGTTGAAAATAATAATAATAACAACAATGATAATGATATCTTTATTCTTACAACCATTCGTATAATTCTGTTGCTCTTGTCACCGTTACTTTTTTTTCCTTGCCAAGCGCATTTACGACCAAATAGGCCTACATTGTTTACCTCAGCTACTCAGCACTTACTCCTTCGCCTCAACTACAACTACAGACAAGGACGTAATTTCCTTGTTTAACTGAATAAACTGGCCTTACTGCACGTTTCCTTTGGCTGTTACGTAGGGCATACTAAGTCAGGATATGCTTTTACGATATTTCTGTATCAATGAACTGTTTTGTGATATCAAAGCACCGAAGCCATCCCAGGGACCCAGGCGAGGTGGTCTCGTCACTCGTCTGATTACAATCACGTACGTAATCTGGGTGTTGTTTTTGTTGTTGTTGTTTGTTGTTTTATCTATGTATTTATTGATTTTATTTTCATCTTATTTTTTAGGTACAATACATAACATGTAATTTGAAGACATATCAATAGTCCTTTTATTGACTAACTGTATCAGTTTGAAAAATACCTAAATCTTATTGTGATTCGAAAGGCAATGACAACAAACAGCATTTGCTATTTCTGTTGATCTTGTTTATTGTTTAATAGTGTTGCTTTTATTTATTAGTATTGACGTAATCATCTTCACCAGTGATAGCGATATTGTTATTGTTGCAAAATGATAGTTGGGATATAATGAATTATGATAATGATAATAGCAATTACAATACTGATAATTAGGATCATAATGATTCGCATTATTATTGACAGATCTTATAATTATCACTATTGTCATCATTGTTATTTTTATTGTTATCATTGTTATTGGTGTTTATATGATTTTTATTATCACGGTTAATAATATCACTTTCATTATGATTGTTGTAATAGTTATTATCATCATTGCTTTTAGTATCATTATTACCATTATTATTAGTAGTATATTATATTATATTATTATTATTCTATCATTATAATTTCACATCATCATCCATTATCATTTATTCATTGTTGTCATTATCTCATAATAATTATTTATCATTATCATTATCACCATCACCAATTATGATTATTATCGTTATCGTTGATTTTTCTCCTACAATTATTATCATTATCGTTATTATCAATAAATTATTATTATATTATTACGTAAATCTATTAATAACCTTTCTGAATTATTAACCTTCCCTGACTTCCTGTTTATCCAACCTTCCCTGACTTACTCGTTTATCCAACCTTCTGACCTTCCTCTGTTTATCCAATCCCTGACTTCCTCTGTTTATCCAACCCTTCCCTGACTTCATCTGTTTTATTCCAACCTTCCCTGACTTCCTCTGTTTATCCAACCTTCCCATTACCCAACTTCCCTTTGACTTCCTCTGTTTATCCAACCTTCCCTACTTCCTCTGTTTCCACTCCCTGACTTCCTCTGTTTATCCACCTTCCTTGACCTTCCTTGACTTCTGTTTATCCACCTTCCCTGACTTCCTCTGTTTAATCCCCTGACTCCCTGACTTCCCCTCATCTTTTATCCAACCTTCCCTGACTTCCTCTGTTTATATCCAACCTTTTCCCTGACTTCCTCTGTTTATCCAACCTTCCCTGATTCCTGTTTATCCAACCTTTCCCTGATTCCTCTGTTTCCTCTGTTTATCCACCTTCCCTGACTTCCTCTGTTTATTTCCCTACTCCTCTGTTTATCCAACCTTCCCTGAACTTCCATCTGTTTATCAACCTTCCCTGACTTCTCTGTTTATCCAACCTTCCCTGACTTCCTCTGTTTATCCAACCTTGACTTCCTCTGTTTATCCATCCTTCCCTTCCTTCTCTGTTTATCCAACCTTCCTGACTTCCTCTGTTTATCAACCTTCCCCTGACTTCCTCTGTTTATCCAACCTTCCCTGACTTCTGTTTATCCAACCTTCCCTGACCCTGTTTAACTCGCTGTTTATCCAACTTTGACTTCTCTGTTTATCCAACCTTCCCTGACTTCCTCTGTTTATCCAACCTTCCCTGACTTCCTCTGTTTATCCAACCTTCCCTGACTTCCTCTGTTTATCCAACCTTCCTGACTTATCTGTTTATCCAACCTTCCTGACTTCCTTTTCCCTTTTATCCAACCTTCCCTGACTTCCTCTGTTTATCCAACCTTCCCTGACTTCCTCTGTTTATCCAACCTTCCCTGACTTCCTCTGTTTATCCAACCTTCCCTGACTTCCTCTGTTTATCCAATTCCCTGACTTCCTCTTTATCCAACCTTCCCTTGACTTCCTCTGTTTATCCAACCTTCCCTGACTTCCTCTGTTTATCCAACCTTCCCTTGACTTCCTCTGTTTATCCAACCTTCCCTGACTTCATCTGTTTATCCAACCTTCCCTGACTTCCTCTGTTTATCACCTTCCCTGACTCCTCTGTTTATCCAACCTCCCTGACTTCCTCTGTTTATCCAACCTTCCCTGACTTCCTCTGTTTATCCCAACCTTCCCTGACTTCTCTGTTTTTCTGTTGTTTATCCAACCTTCCCTGACTTCCTCTGTTTATCCAACCTTCCCTGACTTCCTTCTGTTTATCCTGACTTCCTCTGTTTATCCAACCTTCCCTGACTTCCTCTGTTTTTATGTTATACCAATCTCCCTGACTTCCTCTGTTTATCCAACCTTCCCTGACTTCCCTGACTTCCTCTGTTTTATCCAACCTTCCCTGACTTCCTCTGTTTATCCATCCCTGACTTCCTCTGATTCCTGACTTCTCTGTTTATCCAACCTTCCCTGACTTCTCTGTTTATCCAACCTTCCCTGACTTCCTCTGTTTATCCAACCTTCCCTGACTTTCCTCTGTTTTCCCTGACTTCCTGGACTTCCTCTGTTTATCCAACCTTCCCTGACTTCCCTTTATCCAACCTTCCCTGACTTCCTCTGTTTATCCAACCTTCCCTGACTTCCTCTGTTTATCCAACCTTCCCTGACTTCCTCTGTTTATCCAACCTTCCCTGACTTCCTCTGTTTATCCAATTGCTGTTTACCAACTGACTTCCTCTGACCTTTGACTTCCTCTGACTTTCTGTTTATCCAACCTTCCCTGACTTTCCTCTGTTTATCCAACCTTCCTGACTTCCTCTGACCTTCCCTGACTTCCTCTGTTCCTCTGTTTATCCAACCTTCCCTGACTTCCTCTGTTTATCCAACCTTCCCTGACTTCATTTGTTTATCCAACCTTCCCTGACTTCCTCTGTTTATCCAACCTTCCCCTTCCTCTGTTTATCCACTTCCCTTGACTTCCTCTGTTATCCAACCCTTCCCTGACTTCCTCGTTTCCTCGCCTCCCACTTCCTGTTTATCCCCCTTCCCTGACTTCCTCTGTTTATCCAACCTTTCCCTGCCTTCTCTGTTATCCAACCTTCCCTGACTTCCTCTGTTATCCAACCTCCCTTTCCTCTTTATCCCACCTCCCTGACTTCCTCTGTTTACCCAACCTTCCCTGACTTCCTCTGTTTATCCACCTTCCCTGACTTCCTCTGTTTATCCAAACTTCCTCTGAACTGTTCCTGACTTCTCTGTTCCAACTTCCTGCTTCCCTGACTTCCTCCCTTTATCCAACCTTCCCTTGACTTCCTCTGTTTATGTCCAACCTTCTTCCTCTGTTTATCCAACCTTCCCTGACTTCCTTGTTATATTCCAACCTTCCCTGAACTTCCTCTGTTTATCCAACCTTCCCTGACTTTCCTCTGTTTATCCAACCTTCCCTTGACTTCCCTCCTGTTTATCCAACCTTCCCTGACTTCCTCTGTTTTTCCCTGACTTCATTCATCTTTTATCCAACCTTCCCTGACTTCCTTCTGTTTTATCCAACCTTTCCCTGACTTCTCTGTTTTCCCTGATCCTCTGTTTATCCAACCTTCCCCTGAAAACCTTTCCCTGACTTCCTCTGTTTAATCCGACCTGACTTCCCTGACCTCTGCTCTGCTTATCCAATGCTGTTCTCTGTTTATCCAACCTTCCCTGACTTCCTCTGTTTGACTTCCTCAACCTGACTTCCCTGACTGTCCTCTGTTTATCAACCTTCCCTGACTTCCCTGACCTTCCTCTGTTTATTTCCACCTTCCCTTGACTTCCTCTGTTTATCCAACCTTCCCTGACTTCCTCTGTTATCCAACCTTCCCTGACTTTATCCTCTGTTCTTTCCAACCTTCCCTGACTTCCTTTTTTATCCAACCTTCCCTGACTTCCTCTGTTTTATCCAACCTTCCCTGACTTCCTCTGTTATCCAAACCTCCCGACTTCCTCTGTTTATCCAACCTTCCTCTGGTTTATCCAACCTTCCCTGACTTCTCTGTTTATCCAACCTTCCCTGACTTCCTCTGTTATCCAACCTTCCCTGACTTCCTCTGTTTATCCAACCTTCCTGAATTCATCTGTTTATCCAATTCCCTTCATCCTCTGTTTATCCCCCTTCCCTGACTTCCTCTGTTTATCCAACCTTCCCTGACTTCCTCTGTTTTATCCAACCTTCCCTGACTTCCCTGTTTACCCAACCTTCCCTGTGTTTATCCAACCTTTCCTGACTTCCTCTGTTTATCCTTTCCCCTTTCCCTGTTTCCCAACTTCCCTGACTTCCTCTACCCAACCTTCCTGACCTTCTCTGTTTATCCAACCTTCCCTGACTTCCTCTGTTTATCCAACTGACTTCCTCTGTTTATCCAACTTCCCTTCTGTTTATCCAACCTTCCCCTTGACTTCCTGTCTGTTTTTTTCCACCTTCCCTTGACTTCCTCTGTTTATCCAACCTTCCCTGACTTCCTCTGTTTATCCAACCTTCCCTGACTTCCTCTGTTATCCCAACCTTCCCCTGACTTCTCTGTTTATCCAAACCTGACTTCCTCTGTTTATCCAACCTTCCCTGACTTCTGTTTATCCAACCTTCCCTGACTTCCTCTGTTTATCCAACCTTCCCTGACTTCCTCTGTTTATCCAACCTTCCCTGACTTCATCTGTTTATCCTCTGTGTTTATCCAACCTTCCCTGACTTCCTCTGTTTATCCAAACCTTCCCTGATTTCTTATCCAACCTTCCCTGACTTCCTCTGTTTATCCAACCTTCCCTGACTTCCTCTGTTTATCCAACCTTCCCTGACTTCCTCTGTTTACCCAACCTTCCCTGACTTCCTCTGTTAATCCAACCTTCCCTGACTTCCTCTGTTTATCCAACCTTCCCTTGACTTCCTCTGTTTATCCAACCTTCCCTGACTTCCTCTGTTTATCCACCTTCCCCTTCCTCTGCTGGTTTATCCAACTGACTCCTCTGTTTATCCAACTCCAACTTCCTCTTATTCCCTGACTTCCTCTGTTTATCCAACCTTCCCTGACTTCCTCTGTTTATCCAACCTTCCCTGACTTCCTCTGTTTATCCAACCTTCCCTGACTTCCTCTGTTATCCAACCTTCCCTGACTTCCTCTGTTTATCCAACCTTCCCTGACTTCTCTGTTTATCCAACCTTCCCTTGACTTCATCTGTTTATCCAACCTTCCCTGACTTCTGACTTCCTCTGTTTATCCAACCTTCCCTGACTTCCCTGTTCCCTGACTTTCCTCTGTTTATCCAACCTTCCCTGACTTCCTCTGTTATCCAACCTTCCCTGACTTCCTCTGTTTATCCAACCTTCCCTGACTTCTCTGTTTATCCAACTTCCCTGACTTCCTCTGTTTATCCAAACTTATCTGTTTATCCAACCTTCCTGACTTCCTCTTTTATCCAACCTTCCCTGACTTCCTCTGTTTATCCAACCTTCCCTGACTTCCTCTGTTTATCCAACCTTCCCTGACTTCCTCTGTTTACCCAACCTTCCCTGACTTCCTCTGTTTATCCAACCTTCCCTGACTTCCTCTGTTTATCCAACCTTCCCTAACTTAACTTTATCTGTTTATCCTTTTTTTATGAGTATTTTATTATGATTACAATTATTATTACCATTACTATTATCATTCCTGTTGGCATTACCATTATTATTTCTATTATCATTCCTATTGTTATCATGTTTCCTATTGTCATTATTCCTGCCATTACTATCGTTATCATTGCCAAAATTATCATGATCATCCTATAGATCCTTTAACAGAAAACGATAACGTCTCCAAATTTTCGATCTCCAACAGGAAACAAAACAGCATCCCTTCTGCCGCCCAAAGGCATTCCGATCCCAAAGAACGGGACAAAATCAAGGTATCGAATCCGGTGTTTCTTTGGAATCACTTGCCTTGGAGAATCACTTGGCTTCTTGTCGTCCTTCTTTGACGCAAAGGGTAAAAGGAATTGGGTCAGATTACTTCCAGAGGTTCTGTGAGAGTGAGTTAGAGGGGAGGAGGAGGTGGGGAGGGAGAGAGAGTGTGTATGTGTGTGAGAGAGAGAGAGAAAAAAAGAGAGAGGGACAAAGAGAAGGTTTATGCAACCTTCACTAACCTGACTTTATTCCTTTATCCAACCTTCCTTGACCTGACTTTATTCCTTCATCCAACCTTCCTTGATGAATATATATATAAGTTGTGCAACTGAGTACTTTTTAAGCAGACTACAGGTTCTCTCTCCTTGCCCGTTGCACGGAACGATGTGACCTAATCTGTTTATCCAACCCTGACCTAATCTGTTTATCCAACCCTGACTTAATCTGTTTATCCAACCCTGACTTAATCTTTTAATCCAACCCTGACCTAATCTGTTTATCCCACCTTCCCTGATCTGACATCATTTCCTTATCCAGCTTTCCCTGGCCAAATATGCCTATCCAACCTTCCCTAAATTAATTTCCTTATCCACCTTAATCTGATCCTGATTTAATTTGTTTATCCAACCTTCCCTAGACTTAAATTTTATCCAACTTTACCCAACGTGTCCTAATGTGTTTATCTTTCCTTCCCTGATCTGAAATAATCTGTTTATCCAATCTTCGCCTACATGACCAAATATGCTTATCCAGCTTTCCTTTGTCTGATTTGATCTAATTATCCCTGCCTGACCTGACCTAATCTGTTTATGCAACATTCCCTGACCTGATAAGCTGATTATCCAAGCTTTCCTGGCCTGGCTTTGTATGTTTATCCAACCTTCCCTGACCAGACTTAATCTGTCTATCTAACCTTCTTTGGCCTGACTTGATCTGTTTATCCAACCTTTCCTGACCTTATCTAATATGTTTATCCAACCTACATATCGTCTGCTGACCTAATTTGTTTATCCATCCCTCGACCTGACCAAACCTGTTCACTCGGTTTTACCTATCCTGATCTTATCTGTTTATCCAACCTTGCCAGGAACCGATATTTTACCCAACTGACTTGACCTTATATGTGTAGCTAGCCTTCCCTGACCTTACCAAACCTTTTATCCAACCTTGCCTGACCTGACCTTATCTGTTTATCCAACTTTTTATCCTAGCTTGTCCCCACCCTAACCTAACCTAACCGAGCTTAACCAAAAAAGTTTCACCTTAACCTAATCTGCCCTAAGATAATAAAAGATGACCTATGTTAATCTGACATACCTGACCTGCAATTCCGTAACCGCAGACTTTGATATAATAATTAGTTATCATCATTATTATTATCGCCGCCCCTTATTATTATTATTATTATTCCTATTATTATTATTATTATTATTATTCCTATTGTTATTACTATCATTATTCATATTATTATTATCATTATTATTGTTATCTTTCCCATCGTTATCATCATTCCCTATCAGGCTCATCATCTATATCATTTCTGTTATTATCATTATTATTGTTATCTTTCCCATCGTTATCATCATTCCTGTTATTATTGTCATTATCATCATTCTTATCATCACGATAATTTAATAGTAAACGATAACATCAACAAATTCTTTCATTTCCAACAGGGAACAAAACAGCATTCCTTCTTCCGTCCAAAAGGCATTCCGATCCCAAAGAACGGAGCAAAATCAAGGTATCGAATCCGGCGTTTCTTTGGAATCATTTGGCTTCGAGTCGGTTTCTTGTCGTGCTTCTCTGAGGTAAAAAGAATTGGGTCGGATTACTTGCAGAGGTTCTGGAACTTATAACGAACTCGGGCATTACGAGAAAGAGTTAGAGGGGAGAAGGAGGAAGGAAGAGAGAGAGTTGGGAGTGAGAGAGAAGGGGAGCGAGGGATGGATGGAGGGAGAGAGTGTGTGTCTATGTGTGTGTGTGTGTGAGGAGAGAGAGAGAGAAAGAGAGAGAGAGAGAGAGAGAGAGAGAGAGAGAGAGAGAGAGAGAGAGAGTTTGGAGTGAGAGAGAGGGGAGCGAGGGATGGAGGGAGGAAGAGAGAGAAAGAGAGAGGAGAGAGAGGAGAGAGAGAGAGAGAGAAGAGAGAGAGAGAGAGAGAGAGAGAGAGAGAGAGAGAGAGAGAGAGAGAGGAGAGTTGGGAGTGGAGAGAAGGGGAGCAAAGGAGGAGGAGGGAGACAGAGAGAGAGAGAGAGAGAGAGTGAGAGAGAGAGTTGGGAGTGAGAGAGAAGGGAGCGAGGGATGGAGGAGGGAAAGAGAGAGAGAGAGAGAGAGAGAGAGAGAGAGAGAGAGAGAGAGAGAGAGAGAGAGAGAGAGAGAGTGAGAGGGAGGGAAGGAGGGGATGGAGGGAGGGAAGGAAGAGAGAGAGAGAGAGAGACGGACAGACATAGAGAAAAATAATAGACAGAAAGATAGAGAGAGAAAGAGAGAGAGGAGGAGACAGGCTGATAAGAAGGGAGAGAGAAAGACGGACAGAGAGAGAAACAGAGTTGGGGAAAGGGAGGGAGAGAGAAAGAAGGGAGGAAGGAAGAGACAGAAAGACAAACAGACAGATAGAAAGGGTGTCATATACGAGAATTGGAGGGGAGGAGAGAGAGAGAGAAATTGAGCGAAAGAGGGGGTGAGATATAAGAGAGAAAGGGTGTGGGGTGGGGGGTAAGATAGGAGAGGGAAAGGAGGGAGAGAATGCACCGCAATTATCATTATTGTCGCTATTATTGTCCCCATCATTATCATATAGCTTCCACCATTATGAATATCATCGACATTAATATCATTATCATTATCTAATCATCGCCATCACCATATTATTGCCATTAACTGTGACAGTATAAATAATCAATCAGATCATCACCATTACAAGCATCTTTTCACACTATCTAAATTTTATACAAATAACAAAATAACAAAGAACTTCCCAGCATTTGAGCGCAAAAACAGCGTAAAATTCGGTTGCAGTTCGCTCTCTGTTGCGTGTTCGTTATAATTAAGAGTGGGTGGAGCTTCCATGGCACCGCGCAATTCCATAACGTAAAACTTGAAATTAGTTTTAATACTGTGATTTCCACTATTCGCTGTGAAATGCGATGTTCTGTGTGTACGTGTGAGATTGTTATCACAGACTGGGGATAAATGATCATTTATCATCTGGTCTGTAAAAAGCGTTGTGTGTTTTTTGCTGCACTTTGAGAGTTTTGAATTTGTGGATTTTTCCGTGGATTAAAAAAGGAGGAAAAAGTGGTATTTTATTACCTTTTGCCTGGGTTTGGGGGATATTACACACACGCAATGTTAGACTTTAGTATTCTAAATGTGCCTATTGCTCTATAAAGTCGTTAATGTCATTCCTATAACTCGGGAGTAAACTAACATTGACAAAAAACAAGATGAAACAAATAATATCCCAAATCTAACGGTCGAAACTACCCCCGCTCGATGACAAGGGACTACATGACCTGCAACAATGCGCGGACGAAAGACTAATAAGGCCAGTTCACACACTATTATTGCGGCGTCAACATCGCTCAGCTGTTTGTTATTTGTGGCTTTTATTCATGGCATGACCTCTCCCCCCCTTTTTTTGTTTTCTTTCGTCTCTTCTCTTTCGTTCTTTCTCTCGCTTTCTGTTTCAACCTTTTCGGGTTTTCTTTTAGGCTCGTATCTGCTTACGGCGACCCCCCCCTCCCCCCTTTCCTTCACCCGTCCATTTTCTTGACGTCGAATTCTTTCTGATTTTAACGATCCTTCCGTCAACAGTTATCCTTATGGTGGTTAGGCTGGATCGAGAGTTGCAAAAAAATGCCATTGTTGCAAAATGTTGAAAGGCAGCAGGGGAGCGCAGGCCCGAGAGGTTGTCCATCAACTGTAGGACGGGTTGGGGGGGGGGGGGGGGGGGGGGGGTTCTGTAGCTGTTTCTCTGTTGTTACTCTTTTTAACCTGTTTATTTACTTTTATCTTTATCGTTGATTTCGGCGTTTTCAATTGAAAAGATATTCGCTCAAGATGCGAATATTAAAAAAAATAAAAGAGAAGACCACTGCAATACCAAGATGGAATCCCTCCCCCCCCCTTCCTCCCCTCCCTCCCCTCCCACCCTTAGCCCCTCCCCCTACCTCTCCACCCCCATATCCCGATAACCTCCCCCCCTCGTCCCCCACCCGCCCCCCTTTGTAGTGTCTGCAACAAACCATCAATCGCCCGGACCGTTAAGCAACATGAAAACTTGATAATAAAAAAGGGGGCCACTTGATAAAGAGAAGAGGAAGGCATAGAGGAAGAGAAGAAAGGGGGAGAGGGAGAGGAGGGGGGGAACAGAGGGATTGAAAAAGGGGGGGGGGAGCGAGAGGCTCAGAATAATCGGGTATCTTGCAACGGGGCAACGGAAGAGAGGGAGATAGAGGATGATAATAATAGGGGAGGAGGAGGAGGGAGAGGGGGAGGGGGAGGAGGGAAAACATGATGGCGGTTTGCTAGGACTTCATTTGCATGTCACTTCGAGCTGTCATTTCTCCATTTTTATTATTTTCATCTTATTATCGCATCATTTGTATTATTATTATCATTAGTATTTATTCATTCATTATAGTTATGCATTAGTATTATTGCAGTTATCATTAGTTATATTGCAGTTATCATTTAGTATTATTTAATTATATTATTGCAGTTATCATTCATTATTAGCAGTTATCATTAGTATTTCAAATATTAGTATATGTAAGTTAGTTATCTTTAGTAATATTAGTTATTGCAGCATTAGATTATTGCAGTTATCATTAGTATTATTGTTATCAGCTATTATTGCAGTTATCATTAGTATTATTGCAGTTATCATTAGTATTATTGCAGTTATCATTAGTATCATTGCAGTTATCATTAGTATTATTGCAGTTATCATTAGTATTATTGCAGTTATCATTAGTATTATTGTTTCAGTTTATTGCCATTAGTATTATTATCATTATATTATTGCAGTTATCATTAGTATTATTGCAGTTATTCATTAGTCATTAGTATTATTGCAGTTATCATTAGTATATTATTGCAGTTATCATTAGTATCATTGCAGTTATCATTAGTATTATTGCAGTTATCATTAGTATCATTGCAGTTATCATTAGTATTATTGCAGTTATCATTAGTATTATTGCAGTTATCATTAGTATTATTGCAGTTATCATTGCAGTATTATTGCAGTATCATTAGTATTATTGCATTATCAAGTTATTCAGTTATCATTAGTATTATTGCAGCTATTCATTAGATTATATTGCACTATCATTATATTATTGTCAGTTATCATTAGTATTATTGCAGTTATCATATCATTAGTATTATTGCAAGTTATCATTGCAGTATCATTGCAGCATTAGTATTATTGCAGTTATCATTAGTATATTGCAGTTAATCATTAGTATTATGCAGTTATCATTAGATCATTGCAGTTATCATTAGTATCATTGCAGTATATAGTATTATTGCAGTTATCATTAGTATTATTGCAGTTATCATTAGTATTATTGCAGCTATCATTAGTATTATTGCAGTTATCATTAGTATCATTGCAGTTATCATTAGTATTATTGCAGTTATCATTAGATATCATATAGTTATCATTAGTTATCATTCATTGCAGCAGTTATTGCAGTTATCATTAGTATTATTGCAGTTATCATTAGTGCAGTATCATTGCAGTTATTCAGTTATCATTAGCATTATTTCAGTTACCATTAGCAGTTATATTGGTATATTGCAGTTATCATTAGTATTATTGCAGTTATCATTAGTATTATTAGTATCATTTGCAGTTATATAGTATATTGCAGTTATCATTAGTATTATTGCAGTTATCATTAGTTATTAGCATTGTCAGTATTATCATTAGTATTATTGCAGTTATCATTAGTATTATTGCAGTTCATTAGTATTATTGTTATCATTGCAGTAGTATTATTCATTAGTAGTATATTGCAGCTATCATTCAGTCATTATTGCAGTTATCATTGGTATTATTGCAGCTATCATTAGTATTATTGCAGTTATCATTGCATTATTAGTTATCATTAGTATTATTGCAGCTATCATTGTATTATGCAGTTATCATAGTGTCATTGCAGTTATCATTAGTATTATTGCAGCTATCATTAGTATTATTGCAGTATTCTATTCAGTTATCATTGGTATTATTGCAGCTATCATTAGTATTATTGCAGTTATCATTAGTATTATTGCAGTTATCATTAGTATTATTGCAGTTATCATTAGTATTATTGCAGCTATCATTAGTA